TGCTTTAGCTATAGATAAAGTAATTAAATTTTCATTAATTGATGTTTTTTTAATTATTATAAATACAAATAGTTTTATGAATGTATTTTTTATTTGTCACTTCCTGATATAAGTGAAATATAAATACTATAAATCGTATGTAAACATTTCAGTTTGAATCAAGGCCTTCTTAAACAGGCCGCGACAGCTCATTTTCCGTAAAATTAGCAAAGGCCGACTTTTTTACGGTTAAAATTATTTTTTATCTTTGCTTTTGTAAACAAACTTCAGAAACAAATAAAAAGCTTTATTAGGACAAAACATTTTGATTGAATTTCGAAAGCAAATATTGTAGGGATTTTTTTTACGTTTAGAAATAAGTTAATTACAATAAAAATTTATGGAGTTTAGCTAAAAATGACTAAATCTCGTTTTTATAACTATATGTTTATTTTAGCTGTTTAACACTTGTAATACAAATAATAAATTTTTTGATAAAAACAAACAAATATATTAACTTTATTTTATTAAAATTATTTTGACTTTTTTGACTCAAAGTATTTTATTTTGAAGTTAAAAGTTTTGCTTGTTTTATTAAACATTCCTTCCCAAAATCTTCAGAGTGTTTTTTACAATAATTGTTTAAAAAAATGTTTGCCAAAATGCAGCAAACTTTTTTAACACTTTGAACAAGCAATTGAAATTTACTATTGCAGTTAACAAAAATGTCAATTAATCCTTTCTTGCACAGCAATGGTGAAACTTTATTCACAAGTGTCACTTCAAATATAAAAAAACAATAAAAAACAAAGTAGACTAAATTGTCAGAAGGTTCTCTTAGTCTTCCCCTATTCAAAGAACTGATCAAAGTTCCATATTTTTGAAACATATCAAAGCTGTCTGTTTCTTCTAAAATTGAATGTAATTCTGGAAGTTTGTAAGCAATAAAACCTGCAATATATAAAAGTCCTTGTTTGCATTCATTTGGCAACTAATCCTCACAATTTTCACATATTGACATAATAAACTCCACATCAAGTTCACACTTATCACAGTGGTGGTGAGCAGGAGGAAATATTGTAAAATCTGTATGCTTGTCTAGCAACTTTCTAGTTTTGTCGATTCTAAATTTTTGAATAACATTTTGCACAGTTATCAGATATGTGCCACCTGACCCTTGCCGATATTTCCTAAACTGTTTTTCTAGTGCATCTGATTGCATATGTCCTAACAATACATAAGATACACCACAATTCAACAAATACTTGGCACAGCTTGCTAATCTTTTAGAAGTTTTTTGCAAACACTTGCAGTATCCATTGTTAACTTTTTCTCTCTTAATTTTGAATTTACGCATTTCAAATTTTCTGCAAAATACGAAGTATAGTTCTCTAAGAAATCTATTTGCCAATCATTAACTGAAGTAATAGGCTTTCTTTGAATATCATTTAATCTAATATTTAGACCTTTTGCTTTACTGTTGACAATAAGCCATCACTTAACAACTGTTTCAATAAAAAGTGCAGTATATTCAGCTTCAGGAAATTTTACACGTATTGCTGCAACTGTTTCATCACAAAAAACTTTAAGAACTAATCCAACATTTTGTCGTTCAATTGGTTTTGGTGACAACTTAACTATTCGACTATCTGCAGCATGAAGTTGAACTATAAATTTCTATTTTGCAAGTCGCACAGTATCGTTATCATTTAGCAATCTATATTTTAAACATTGCAATTTTTCAGTGATCCAATTATTTCGAATACATTTTAAAATATGCACAGTGTCATTTAAAAGATAGTATGCTGGAACTTTTTTTGCATTAAAATATTGAAATATTTTTTGGTTTACTCGATAGTAATCCATTATTAACCAAGAGGCTTTCCACCTGCAATTATGATTTGTTGATTTAATTCTTCTATCACGCTTGTTTGAAAATTTGTTGTAACTTTACAAACTGGAAAAACTTTTATAACAAGTCGTGGGCCACCAAAAAGACAAAGGAGCATTAGTGCTAATGGTGTATTGTTTGTTTTATTTAATAAAGCTACTTGATGCCTAATATAACTTGCTCACTTAGAATCTGTTTCATTATTAATAACATAACTAACAGCATTCTCCAGTTGAGAATAATATTTAATAACTCCTTTGTTTAAAAAAGACAGTTTAATTTGTAAAAGTTGGCTATATCCAGTAAAATAAATATCTCCAGAATCTTCTAAAGTTATATATATTGAAAACTTAGGTACTGGTCCACAATGTTCATATGATATTAAAGATGTATTTTTTTCTTTTTCAACAAAATAAAATTTTTCTTCACAGTAATTTATTATTGACTTCAAATTTTTTACAATTGTATTAAATTGAATAACGTCCATTTTTTTGAAGTTTTCGAACTCATCAGGTAAAATATTTCTTTCACTGAAAGAAATATATTGAAATATGAAAGAACCAGTGTCTTGTATTCCAATAGTGTCTAGAAAACGAGATGTAACTGGGTTGATATGACTGGGTTGATATGCTCTGAAAGTTTCAGATATAAACTTTCAGAGCATTTCCAGAGCATCCTCCATCAGTCTTTAAAGGTATACCTTTAAAGACTGATGGAGGATGCACTGGAACAAAACTACCACCTTTGACTCTTTTTAATTCTGCATCTTTAGGCTAGTGCTGAGCACAAATTCGCTTATAATCTGTAAACACAAAGTTTGCATTTGGAAGTTTTTTAATCCATAACTCGCGATCCCCGGATTTAAAGGGGAATCTATACATTGTGACATTAACATTATCTTTTACTTTTGATTTGTAATTTGAGGAGCAACCATAAACGCAGCATTTATTAGGCATTTTACGAGTTTAACTATTATAGTTTAAATCAAACAACCAAAATCCTCATTGAAACTGGTTAGCGATTTTTAGCATGCACCAAAAGTAGGTTGTGAAAATTGTTTAAAGTGCGGACCTGGAAAGTTATTTATACTTACGCGCAAACGGAAAACAATACAAAAACAACAAAAACCTACTTTTGGTGCATGCTAAAAAATTTTTACTAACTGTTTAATGTTATTATTGTATAATGGTAAAAAGTTAATGGTAAATCAGCGTTATTATATGGTTAAATCAGCGTTATATAACATATATATATATATATATATATATATATATATATATATATATATATATATATATATATATATATATATATATATATATATATATATATATATATATATATATATATATATATATATATATATATATATATATATATATATATATATATATATATATATATATATATATATTATTAACTATACTTCTCCGTAAAAAAATCGGCCTTCGCTAATTTTACGGAAAATGAGCTGTCACGGCCTGTTTAAGAAGGCCTTGGTTTGAACTTAATTAGATTTTGTTATTTTTAAGTTGAAACAGGCAGATATATTTGTAATATAACTAAAATTAATTTAACTTTGGAGTTTAATTAATTTTTCTTTATTAACTAATTACTAATTAAAAACATAACTAATTAAAAAAATCTTACTTCTTCCTTCAATCTTCTTTCTCCAATTTTATGTAGCTTTTTGATTTTTTTCAAGTCAGCTAATCCAATTTAATGCGGACCGGTAGTCCCTATTTTAGCTCTTTGCCCAAGTATAAAAACTAACGTTTTAATTGGAATCTTTTTCTTAATTTCGAACGTGCAGTTAATGTGGGCTTCATCGTTACATTCTGAAAAACATATTTTCTCTTGAAAAGTAATAATTACAATTCAGTATATCAAACAATTTGTCAAGTTTTGCCAAAAACCTATTTTTATTCTTTAAGCTTGCTTTTCCTTACCAACCAGGTTGACTGCATTCCATTCATTCACCAATGTTGCAATAATATAATGTTCAATATGTGTTACAGAATATACAAATAAAGCATTGGCCTATTTACCAATCAACTTTGAGTAAACATGGTTCATTAGTGATTTTAACGGATAATTTATTTTCTTTCTATTGTTTCTTTCTTGCAAAAACAGACCATATCTAAGAAGATCTCTTGATGTTGGTAACTCCGATACAAGAATATTTGTTCCAGAACCTATATTTTCCGAAAGCTTTGATCCGCTTCTTTTTTTTATAATTTTTGAAGATATTGACTCTTCCATGATTAAATAGCAAAGTTCATAATTTGCAAACTTTTTGCGTAAATTTTTTAATTTTAAAACACGCTTCCCGGTAGCTTTACATAAATTACTTTAAGTTTGATTTTTGGTTTTAATGTTAAAATAGTTGTACACAAGTTTTCTTTATACCGAGTTTTCGGAAAAACTTTTTTTTCAAAAAAATCATAAAGTATGACACACCCTAATATATATGTTTAAAATATTTTGTTTATTTTATGCGCTTTAAAAAAAAAAATCCCTGTGAATTTTTTTCGGGGATTATTTCGGGGGGATTTTTTATTCTTAAATGACCTAGACCGAATTTAGGAGATTTTTCGGCATACAAAAACCTTTTAGTCTGTGACGTTTTAAATATAACTTTAATAATCATATTTTATTAAAAACGCCTACGACAACGAAAACTATTAAAAACGCATAGGATAACGAAACAAATCGTAACTTTTACGTTCTCATTGCAGTTGGCGTTTTAGTTTTAGCAAAGTTCGTATTTAGTTGTAAAGGCAATACATGAGTATAATTAAAAAAAAAAAAGTTCCTGTTACCCGATGTTAAAATCAGAAACAAAATTTTACCGATTTCTTTCAAGACATTATATTTACAATCTAATGTAATCGGCTTTCAGAGCTTTTGAAAACTTTTTGGTGTTAAATTATGGATTTAGTATTAAGTACATTAACAAATTTTTGTGAATAAAAATTTTTTTAATCGCTTTAGATTGCAAATATAATAAAAATATCGGGATTGATTGGTTTTAACTACAAAACTTAACAAAACGATATGTTTTATTTGTATTTTAACTTCATGAAAAATCAAACTTTAGATTAACTTATAAGTTGTTTAATTTCAATTGGCTAATAGTTTGTTGATTTAAGATTTATAGAGTTGAACTGTCACTTGAAAAAGTTATTACTTTTTAAACAATTTGAAGTTAACAGTTTTTTAATGACATTTTCTAAATCAAATGAGTTGTTACTGAGACTAAAATAAGACTCTATTTTTTATGAAGATAACAAAAAATTAGAGGAAACGACACGGTTTTTTTTCTTACTAAGGTAAGAAAACTTCAAAAGTTTTAGCGTCATTAAAAATGCATTTGACTGGCTTTAGAAATTTGCATGAACTCATGTCTTTCAGTTATACAAAGTTTTGTTTTTAATATTGTTTTACGAGCAAGCTAAAAGATGGGATGGTATTTTGGAACTTTACAAAATGATACTGACCATGAAAATATAAAGCCAAAATCTATATCAAGAGAGTGTGCTGAACAAATAAATCATATAATCAAAAGATCTAAAAAAATTTCAGAAGTAATTTTTCATGATCTCACCTACGATACAAACTGTTTCTTGAAGATTGAACGTATTGCTGAAATCTTTTTCAAATACAATCAAAGCGTTGTTAACAAGTAATATTTTTTTTTCTTATTTTTCTAAACTAATTTTTTTTGTTTACCAGCCAAATATAGTATTTAGAACGTATTTATATTGAAATTTATATTGAAGATAATATTTGTATTTCTTAACTACAAATGTTAAATTAGACAAAAATTTAGCAAGGTTAATGTATTGGTGTGAAAAAAGATCATGGGTATCACTGTTAAGAATAGTTTAGTTTTATAAATACTCGTCAAATATGAAGTTTTTTTTTCTGTTAATAAATATATTGTAATATTATTGTGTTGTCATATTATCATATTTTTATATTGTTAAATCTTTCATTATATCTTTCATTATATCGTTTTATCGTTGTGTTCGTTATATCATTTTATCGCTAAATTTTCATAAGATTCTTATTATCAATAATATTAGGATCATTAATATTAAATTTATAAACTTTACTATAGTGGTTTGGATTGAAACAAACAAAAAAAAAAAGATTCAAAAATGTTTTAAAGAGATTTGTGTATAGAACAGCATTATTATTAATCTTATTATTAGTAGCAATAATCCCATTATTAATAGCAAGTAAAACAAAATATCATGTTTTAAGACATATTCTAAACCACTTTTTAATTATTTATTTTATTTTTTTAAGCCACTTTTTTGTGATGCTTGGTTTATCACTAGTTTATTTCTTCTTTGTTTTTGTTTTTTTAAATATAATGTAAAACATTTTGAGCTAAAAAAGCAACCGTTTTTCCTGCTAACATTAAATTATTTTGTTAACGTAAATTCAGTTTCCTTTCGAGACGCATCCAATCAGAATTTAAAGGTAAAATCAAGGTAATTTAAACTACATTTGAATTCTGATTGGATGCATCTTATAAAAAAATGAGTTTAAAATAACAAAATAACTTGATGCTAGAAAGACAAACAATTTATGTTAGTTTCGATGGGATTAAAAAACGTTTGAAATAAAAATTTAAAACTTTCAAAAACGTTGCAACATTAAAAAGATATAAATAGTATTTTAAAAAAAGTAATAATAAAAATAATAAAACTGAAATCAACATAAAAACTAACTTGCTTTTTTAAATTTCTTTTAAAAATTGAATTTAAAAAAACTTTAACTAAATGTTAACTTCATCAAATACGATCTATGAGGCGGTTTGACCTCAATTTTGCCACGGAAATCCATGTTAGATTTGTGTATTTGAGTTTCATTATGTAAGGATTTTTTGTAAAATATGGTCTCTGTCAATCTTGAGGTAAATTAATAGCCCAATTTACAGCTTCGAGCGGGTCTGATCCAAATTTTGCGCTAATTTTGATGTTCGACTTTAAATTTTTCCAATCATCCAAAATTTTTTTTTTTTGAAATTTTTGTCTTTTATACTTTTATAGTAAAATAATAGCCTTTTGGATACGAATTCTGGAGTTCTTGGTTGCCAAACACCCCGAAAATGGACCAACTGATAAAAGATCAACTTGCAACTTTATTGTTGCAACGAAGATATCGCACTTCTTATAAAAATGGGATAAAATAAAATCTGTATTAGGCTCCTGCACTATTTGAAAATTTTAAAAATATAATTTTGGTACTACAATTCAAAAAATTATCTTTTATTTTTAAATGAAAAAAGGCGACTGTCTCCAATTGTTAAGGAGTTTGTTCTAATAATTTTAAATGGAAAAAGGATTAATGTTCAAGTTTATCATCTTCTAACCTTTTAAGAGGGCACTAGCTTTTTTAACGTGAGCATCTTGAAACCATTTATTTACCAGATTTGGTGATTTGGTTTGAAATCATTCATTTACCAGGTTTTGTGATCTATGAGAATTAGACCACTCAAAATTGCCTCAGAACATCTTTGTTTGTTTGTCTGCTAATGATATACAACTTAGATTCCTAAGTAAATTTACAAGGTTCAGATTTACTACGTTTTTAAGATGATTTGTTTTAAAAAATGTTTTTAATGATATAAAGTGACATTCGGCCTTAAAATATAATTTCGAAAAATTTTTCGAAATATTTTCGAATGTGTACGTGATTCGGAAATTAAAAAAAAGATCAGAAACGGAAAACAAATTTTGGCTATTTTTAAAAACTTCAAGTTTTATATAGTATAAGACCTTTATAAAACATTATAGCAGTTTCAAGATTTTTTTAAAAATTGTTTAAACACAGTTTTTTTTATCTTCCCTTCGGCAAAAAAAACCTTTAGCTATATCTATGATGTTCAGTTCATCAGTTTTTTGCGTGTTTATATTTAATAGCATACACCAGTTTAACATTCATATCTTACCTGACAAAAATAAGGACATTATGTAGAGTGTCTAATGGTTGTGGATTCGTGCATAACCTGTAATAGTGCATGCAGCCTTGAAGCATTCAAATCTATTGAAGGCAGAAACTTTTTTATTTATTGAACTACCTTCAGGTGAAAGAGTTATAAGTACTGATTCTATCTTTTGAAGCATTAAATATCCTTGTTGTTCAAATCTCGATTGAATACTACCAACTGTCATTTCTATAGCTTTAAAATATCTTCTTGAAAAATTCAAAACTAGAACTTTTAGATAATACTGATGCAGATGCTCCTATTTTCAAATAACGAGGTACTTTGCGATGGCGGGGCAAAGCAGGTTTTTGTAGTTGAAGCAATTTTCTTTTGATTTCAATACGGTTTCAAAATAGCTCAAATGAATTTTCAGACTGGATTGATTTCAATGTAAACAAAGTTCTTTCAAAAACTTTCTGAACTTCACTAGTCAAAAGTGTAACCTTATGCAAACTTTTTGATAAATTGTCTACCATGCATAGAACAGTCTTGCCCATTTCATTTCCAAATAAGAAAGGAAATTTTTCCTTTTGTGCTGCAACTCCGTCTATTCAAGCAACAATCTCACTATCTTTTGTCTAAGATTTAGCTTCTTCCCAAGCAACTGGTAGAGATTCATAGTTTTAAGATATGAAATATAATGATTCTGCTCTTACCATCCAGCTTGTAAGGTGGAGTATACGAATACCGGGTATCCCACGGAGAATATTTTCTTTTTCCTTTTTGAAAAAGCATTCACCTTTGGGAGATCTTTTTATCGACTTTGTAATTTCATGAACACTATTCAGAGCATTTTTCATGATGCTGATAGCTAAAATAAACAAAATATTTTAAACATATATATTAGGGTGTGTCATACTTTATGATTTTTTTGAAAAAAAAGTTTTTCCGAAAACTCGGTATAAAGAAAACTTGTGTACAACTATTTTAACATTAAAACCAAAAATCAAACTTAAAGTAATTTATGTAAATTCAAAGCGTGACCATAGCAATCGGAATATAGTATTTTGGTTCAAGGTCACTTATTCTCTTTGCAATTCCAGACTTGCAGCCTGTCATGCTGGCACTATCATTACATTGACCACGACAATTATTAATTGAAAGATAAATCCGCATAAAAACATCTTTGATAGTTTCAGTAATACTTTCAGCAGATGTATTTTCCTTTCTGTAAAGTCCGACAAACACTTTATGCACTTCCAAGTCATCTTTATCTACATATCGCAAGCAAACCACCATTTTCTCAGTGTTGGACTGATCTGTGGTTTCATCTACCATAATAGTAAACAACTTTACAGAAATGTTGGATGTAATTTTTCTGAGTATAGTTAGACCCATTATCTGCAGGATTTTCATTTTGGATAGCTGCACTTGTAAATTTATCTTGACTTTCTCATCCATTTAGTTAAAGCGGTATTATCTTTGCTTCTGAGATTAAGTAACTGAGAAAAGTTCGAATTAAATTCTTTATAGTCTTTGTCTGTATTGTAATCACCACGCAAAGCATTACATTGTCTGGCGAGATACTGAATATTCGTGATTATTATTAACAATGCTGTATTTTCCATTTTTTCCTCTGCATAAGTTTTGCTGAAAAGTTTCCACTATCTTTAGTTGTTGAAGGAATAGTTATTACCTTCTCGATGGCTTCTCGATAAGAAAAAATATTTTTGTGTTTCTGTAATTCTTGTAAACCCTTTTTCCAATTAGAAAATCCAGTTTTTGTGAAAACATCCATGTTGCATTTTGGAAATGTTAAATTATGCATTTCCAACAACATACAATAGTAGCATAAAACTGTATGTTACATTTGTTGTAATGCAACCATGGAAACAGCTTGTACCATTTCTGACAAAACCATCGCTTCTGACTACCACATGTACGTTTTTTTTTCTATAAAAAAAAAGTAGAAAAAAAATTTCAATATGAATTTTTATAAAAGTTAACAGAAACTCAATAGAAATTCTATAGAATTCTATAGAATTTCTATAGGCCATATGTTTCAAAAGTTTATATAAAATTCTATAGAACTTTTTTTCCTGGGTTATTAAGTAATATTACTATAAACAATACAAACTTTTAAAAATCTAATTCGAAACTATTATTATTATGCGTAATTTCAAATTGTTTTAAATCCGATTGCAAATTGTAGTTATTAGATAATAAATATTATATAATAATATTTAAATTTAATTATTAAATTCATGAAACTTAAAACTCTAAACAAAAAAAGGAAAAAGCAAGTTTATTAAAAGAATTCGCCTTACATGAACTAAATAACTTTTTATTAAATGCAGCAAGTTAAATACCACGTTTTAAAAAGTTCTGTACAACGAGTTCTTTTTTTTTTTAATTCGAAAGGTGACGTAAAATCTACAGTTATTTTCTTAAGTTTACATATTTGCGCCATTTTTATTTTTATTACTAGTTTAACTCCCAAATATTTTTATATAGTTATTTCGCAATTAAAAAAATTAGTTATAGATATTTATAAGACAAACGTTTTATAAATGTTTTCAAATTGTTTATCAGAGGCGCAACAAAACAAAAAAGCCCTCTTCCAAACCCCCACTTGGGGGGTGGGGAGGGCTTTTCGTTTTGTTGCGAATTTTTACAGCAAATGCAACAATCGAATGGATCTGAAATTTTTCCTAATAACTTTAATCAATGTTGAAAGATTAAAC